ACCTGTTTGACTGGCTGTTTCCCTCTCTCGGTCTGTCTGAGGTCTCTCTCTCTCTTATTTTCTCTTTTTTATTCTCTGTTTCTCTTTCTCCTTTCTTTCTAACTCTATCACTTTTTCTCTTTCTCTCTCTCTCTCTCTCCCTTTCTGTCTCTTTCTCTCTCCCTCTCTTTCTTTCCCTGTTTTTCTCTCGTTCTGTTTTTATTTCTTCACCCCCCCCCCTCCTCTTCATTGCTCCTGTCAACTCAAGCCGTCCACTGATGTACTTTCTTTATCTTTTAAATTTTGTTTTTCTCTCTCTCTCTCTCTCTCTCTCTCATTCTCTTTATCTCACATTTCCTTACTCCGTTCACATCAAGCTATGATAAAAATATAGATTCTATGTATGTTTTGAATTCGATGCAAAAAATGCTTCTTCCCAGTCCTTGCAGAATGAAAGATGACGCCAAACTCTCGCAAATAACCAAAAAATCTCGAGAACGAAAACCTTTCAGAGAAATGGTCACTTCAAATAAATAATTGTTATTAGATCTAGATATCTATATATAGGCTTTAAATAATTTAATTTAAATTTATAACAAACAATGCATGAAGGCTATCTTACTTATTAGCCTATAAATTATGTCATGCATGTTGGCCTATTTTATTGTTCCACTAGTACAACAAATGTTAATTAATTAAAAGGAATCGGGATTCATTAAAAAGTATATTAATATTAATATTATAGATTATAATGAATAGCCTGGAGTGACTGGCTAAAAGTCCAAGGGTTTGGATATAAAAATCTAGATCTAATCTAGATCTAGAGGTACATAGATCTAGAATCTAGATTCTAGTACACTACATGCATATTATTATTATCTAGCAAACTGTGTTTAGTACTGTGGCCAGTGGTGAAGGCAGAAGTGAACTTAAGCATTGGAAGCCCTGGCCCTGGACTGCAAGACCGTTATTGCCGTTAAAAAAGCGTCCCACGAATGAAGTCGCAGAAAAAGGCTCCAAATGGATCAAAAGCATAAACAGTTTTATTTTTTAAATTTTAAACTATAAAAAAACATCTTGAAGACCGACAACATCTTGTTTTAATTGTTCTTGAAAACATTAAGTCTAGAATCTAGATTCTAGCCTACTCAGAAGTGTTGCCTTTGTTGAAGTCAGCCAACAAACCGACAAAAAGGCCCTTCTGTGTGACCCGGTTTCATCATAATAAATTAAAAACAATACTTGCAATGTTTCTTACCAGCAGCTAAATTTTGTTGATCAACATCCACTGCGCAATCATCACACTCTACTCTGAGGTTCCAACAAAACTCCCTTCATATATATCTGTGATCAGCACGTATGTTCACTTGGTAAAACACTGGCTTGTCACTTCATGTCACTGTCATTATCACTGAACGGCACGCAGACTGAGGTTGGGGTGAGGCTAGCATTCGACGAGCACGCACGTTACCTCTCAGATACTAACATTAGATGTTCACGAGGGAAGCACGTAGCGGCGAACGGGAGTTTCCGATCTTCTATTTAACAGCGCATGCTCGGTGGCCTAGCTCTCTGTGTCAGCCAATGATAATCGAGAATTAAGAAATCGTGAATATTAATGAACGGAATTTCTCAGGGTGAAGGTCCAAAGTCCACTTTGACTGCGACAGAGACGGTACAACACGACCTACTTTCGAACTTGCTCTGCTCTGCGCTCCACACTAACTAGGTCAAGTTTAGATCCCCGTAGTTTACTCAATAATCGTTGCTCGCGGAGGATTGGAAGTAGGCCTAGGCTTGATAAAAGTAGAAAAGGGATTCTTGAGTACTAAGGCCCTGTTATTTGCAAAGAAATGAAAGCTGTTTGATGATAATATTATTTTCGGAGGTGAAAAGCTTTCTCTTTCTTGCATCAGCTACACCTATACAGCTGAACGTGGTGGAGCCGCAAGTCAAAAAGAAAAGAGGAAGGCAAGGCTGTTGGAGGAGAAATAACAATTATTATTGTATTTATCTAGCCTAATGCATCGTTGGTACAACGAAGGAATTTTGTTTTGAGAAAAAAAAGGGATGAGGACGAACAACGGGTGTACGGAAATTTGAGGTCTATAATTTGTTTCTAAAGCTATTTGCCTTGGTGCGGTCCGATTTCATGAATCATAAGCTGCCATATATTTTATCTTATAAAAAAAACAACAACAACAAAACGATACGTCTCGAATACAGCCCCCATGAATCAAAAAAGAAAAAAAAAGATCGTCTTGGACGGGTGGCCGTCTTACACAGGGTCAATATAATGTTGCTTTTTTTAAAAATACGTATGTGAGGAAATGGGAAGTGGGCGTTTGTACAGGTGATAGTCTTTTACAGGTGACCGTTTGAGCAGGTTCAACTGTAGGCCTACAGAATCTATGACGTGTGTTATTTGTGACCCTTGGGTACGCCCTCGCAGTCACGTAGTCAAGGTTTAGACAGGAGGCAGTCATCGTAACATCGCGGGGGTGGCCGTGTGGCCGAGCGGCACCGCACAAAGTCCACTCTAGGCTAGTGAAGAGCCGGGGATACCGCCGGAACACACGAGTGTATCATGAATGATGAAACGTTTTTGTTGTAATCCCTGTAACTACTGTTACATCATAAGAGCAGTTCACTAAGTGGATCTTTCATTTGATATGACGACCGGCCCGTGCACACGTAGGCAGCATGAAACCAGCGCGTGTGCGTGTTCTGTGAAGTGTGAAGTAGCCTAGAGCATGCAAGCAGCGTGAACTTGGCAAAAATACCTCGGGATCTAGAGCAGCTCTGGTGGGCTTGAAAAGAGAAGACTGAAAGCGCGATTATCCTTTTTCTCACCCCCC